CTTCTTGTCTTTTCTTTTCTCTTCCCTCCTTTTTTTCCGTCCACTCCCTTTCCCCCTCCCTCTCCGCCAAGCCAAACCGGCAGAGGCAGAGGTGCGATGCGAAGCAAACCTGCCTGCTTGCCTGCACCCGTTCGACCGGGAAACATAGAGTCTGACATGTCATCACATCACGCAGTACGGACAAGGTCCAGGCCGATATCCTCGATGGCATCGCTGCCATGCAGAGCTCTCTGACGAGCCTGATTGGCCGCATGGACGACAGACTGACCAAGATGGAATCTGCTGTCTTGTCGCTGTCGGCATCGGCAGCACCCCTCATCAAAAGGGAGGCAATCCTCGACGCCGACATGACGAGCCAAGACTCGCCGGCCGCCGTGCCCGGCAGCGCACGCGCCGAGACCTACGCCCCGCCCGACATGGCGCCCCGTGCCTCGTCGGAGCAGCAGTGCCAGCAGCCCCTGCGCCTCATGCCCGAGGACGAGATGGAGGCCGAGCCGGGTCCACCTGTGCCCCCCGGAGAGCCTGCCATCCCCATAAACCACACCACCCTGGCCGCCCTGCTGCTCGAGTGGCCGTCGATCCGCCACATGACCAAGCACCTCATCGAGCGCGAGGGCATCCGCTACATCAGCGAGTACCCCGTCAGTCAGGAGCAGAGCCGCGGCTCGCTCATCGTGTACGGACGCGGCGAGGACTCGCACGCCTCCCGCTACAGCAGGGAGATTGCCGACCACGGCCACGTCGACGCCTCGGACGACTCGTCAGATATGGCTTCTCCCTCCATGGCTGCCGACTTCGGCAAGGTCGGCGGACTGAGCACCCCCGACTACGAGTACCGCGGCGGCGTGCTCGGTGCCGACGGCGGCCCCGACTTCTCCGAGCCGACCGTGTGGAAGTACGTGGCCAGCTTCCAGGAGCACATCCTGAACATGCACCCGATCCTGCAGCCCAAGGTTCTGGAGGGCTGGGTACGGCACTTCCTAGACACGCTGTCGACGGTGCAGCCGCGGTCGTCCAAGGTGCCCAAGCCTACCTTTGCCGTGGCGCCCAACAACGCGTCGTCGTCGTCATCGTCGTCGTCGTCGCAGAACCCAGCGGATGGCTCCTCAGGCTTCAAGCGTAAGCGGTCCGTTGACCCGGGCGAGCCCGATGGCCCCCCCACGCCTGCCGGCCCCTCCAGATCCGGACGGCCAGACCGGTCCATCCACAGCGCCCTCATCCTGACCATCTTGGCCCTCGGCAAGATCTGCCTCCACCGCTCCCAGATCCCGGACGTGGTGCACCCTACCGCCAGCGACCCGGCAGTCATGGGCATGGGCAGCCCCGTGGCGCGCAACGGCTTCCCCGCGTCTCCCGGCCACTCCTCCCCGCCGGCGTACTCGTCGTCCACGCCCCACTCGTCAGTCCAGCAATCCCCTAGCGGCGGCGGCGGCGGCGGCGGCGGCGCGGGCAGGCGCTCCTCCATCCACGGGGCTTCGGGGTCCATGTCCCGCTCCGCGGGCGGCATGTCCCTCAAGAAGAATTACGAGGTCATTCCGGGCCTCGAGTACTTTGCCTACGCCACAGACATTCTCGGCAACATGGGCGGCTCGTACAACAACATGAAGGATGTCTACGCCCACATCTTCTCCTGCCTGTACTACGGACAGCTCAACAGGCCGCTCGAGAGCTTCGCCAGCATCCACAGGGCCAGCCACAAGCTGCAGGTCATCATGCGCCCTAGCCTGGATAAGCTCCGGAAACTCAAGATGCGCAGCGAGTTCATCCAGGACCCTAAGCAGAATAGGCTGGCTCTGGCCTTTTGGACCTGCCTCCAGCTCGAAAGGTATTTAC